AAAGGGTATAGATTTGGAGAATGAGTGGGATGAAGGGGGATGAAGGGCTTGGGTCATCCCCTGACAAAATGTAAAAACTCAGAGATTGGTTAAAGGTGTTGATCAATGGTTCTCAACCTTCTGGCCCTTTAAATACAGTTCCTCATGTTGTGACCCAACCATAAAATTATTTTCGTTGCTACTTCATAACTGTAATGTTGCTACTGTTATGAATCATAATGTAAATATCTGATATGCAGGATGGTTTCAGGCGACCCCTGGGAAAGAGTCATTCGACCGCCAAAGGGGTCGCGACCCACAGGTTGCGAACCGCTGGTGTTGATGGAGCTCTAGTATGTGCCTATGGGTGATGAGCATTGTAGCTCAAACATAAAGCACTCAGATTACTCGTGTAACTCATTTTATCAACTAAGGATATTTTCTATGCATTTTATGTGGCACATTATTCCTTTCATCCCATGGGTAAAGAGTCCAGTAAATAGTTTATGGTTAAACATCTAAAATGACAATAAAATTTAGATTAAAAGAAGTTGTTATTGGTAACTGACTTGTTACATTCAAGGGTTCAGATGTTTTTCATTCACTGAGTAGTATGCATGTTAAAAATATAGATTTTGGAGCTCAATTAGTAGAGACAGAGTTGGACCAGAGATGAACATGTATTAAATTAACCTAGTCATTAGTTTTTAATTTAAATATTGTTCAGCTACATAATTTGGCACCCTATAAGTTTCAGTGGTGCTGGGGCTGGCAGTGTAAGCCCATCACTAATTATTCACAGGGGTGTCCCCTCCCCTCTTTTCAAAGAAATGTGGAACCAGCAATTTATTGTGGCAAAAATATTTTCCTGCACTTGTTTCTTTTGTGAAAATATTTTTCTCACACGGATGACTGGTACTACAAAGTTAGCTTTCACCACCTTCAGGTCAATTCATTTTAGAACATTTAGAAAATGATACCCTTGAAATAAGAAAAGTAAGTAAGGGAAAGAGCAGGCAGTCTGTAACAGCTTGTGGAGAATTGGGTTTGAGGCTCAAACTGAAGATTTGTCCTGTTACATGATTCAGAGTTGAGTGTTTTCTAAATTGGCCTCCTCAGACTTCCTCCAACACTCATTTCTATCTCCCCCACCTTCCCTGTCATTATTTACAGTCACATACTAAGCTAATTTGGGGAGTCTTCTAGATAAGCTTAGAAATGGTGAAAACAAAGGACTCAATGTGTGAGATTCTTTTTAAGCAGATGGCAGGATTTTGCATAATAATTAAAGACCAGGGCTTTCTCCTTGTGTAAAATAGAGACGGCTACCCCTCCACCGATATATGAATACACACGGGAGTCAGTAAAGTAACTGTCAGCAGGAGGCTTTGACGCTGGTCTTAACCTGGATTCCATGGCTCCCCACCATCCTAAAGCAATGGTTCTCAAACTGGAGCGTGGGTCAGAATCACCGCAGGGCTCGTTGAACACAGAGTACTGGGCCCCGGCCCCAGAGTTTCTTCTTAGAGGGAGGGACCTGAGAATTGGCGTTCCTAGCAGGTTCCCAGGTGATGCTGCTGCTGCTGGTCCAGGCACATACTCCGAGAACCACTGATGTGGGAGAGTGAGCTGAGAGCTACAGCACACACTAGGAGGTCCTTGGTGCATTTGTCCTCTGCTGTTCTCTCCGGGCTGGTGTTCTCTTCTCCTCGCCTGGAATACCAAGCTTCAGCAATGTCAGGCTGCTTGCATTCTTCACAGATGCTCCATTCTTTTGTGCTCTTGTGCCTCGAGGCATTTGCTATTTCTTTTGCTGAATTCCCTTCTCTCTCTTCCCTACCAGATGAGAATGCCAACTCATTCTTCAAGACTCAACTTTCTCTACACACCTCCTTATTCCCTAAAGATAGTTCATGAATCTTTTTGTGTCATCACTCTACATTGTATATACTTCTTTTTTCTTTTTTTTTTAAAAAAAGAAGTGTTTTTATTGGTTTTAGAGAGGAGAGGGAGAGAGATAGAAACATCGATGAGAAAGAAACATTGATTGGCTGCCTTCTGCTGGCCTTTCATGGGGGATTGAGCCTGCAATCTGGGCATGTGCCCTGACCAGGAATTGAACTGGTGACCTCTTGGTGTTTGGGTTGACGCTCAACCACTGAGCTACACCAGCAGGGCTGTACATACTTCTATTGTAGCTTTTATGTGTTAAAGTGGAGTTGCAATATTCATGCATTATTACTCAAAATGAATTATTTGTGCTCTGCAGAGAGAGCAAAGGTGACATAAAAAGTGAGGATGATTTCGTCTGTTGTACCAGTCCATAAAACCACATGTACCAATCCATGAATTCCTGGGGGAGGTGTGAGATGGAAGGCGAGGACCTGCCATTCCCTCCGTGGGTCTCATCCTTCTTGCCTCTCACAGGGTAGTCATCTTATGTGGAGGAGATTCTAGTGTGAAAAATACATATTTTTGAATAATGAGCTTTAAGCACAGGCCCAATGCTTTTAACTGGTCCCTAACTGAAGAATCAGTGACCCGTTTCAATACTAGCAGAAACACTGACTGTGATCAACTTGTTGAGAGACAGGACAACATTGAACTGTATGGGTGTCTTCAGGAGATAAGTTGTGCGCTGCCTGCAGGTGAGTGCTTAGGGTCTCTGTGCATCACACACCTCTCCTCTGTTAGATCAGCATGCTTGGAGGCTGGGTCCATGTCTCATACATTTGAGTTGGGGCTTTATGGAGGATGCTCTGGCGTGGCCCACTAAATGTAGCAACATATCACCTATCATAATATTTAAGAAGGATCCAATAAATACTTATTGAAGAAATTAATGAACTAACAAAGGAACAATGGAGTTGGGTGATCTTATTAGAGAGCAGAAACTCTTTTTTTTTTTCTGGAGAGACAATCATGGACTGATGGAGTATCAAATGTGGAAGGCACTTAGGGATTATTTCATAAAAAACCCCTTTATATGATAAATTTCCGAAAAGTGAATTTGCCCAACAATACTTCCATTGACTTATTCTGCTAATCCTTTTCTAGATGATTGTGGTTTAGCTGAAACCCTTGTAAAGTATAATAACTAAACTAGATAGTATTACCACTGTGATCTTTGTGGAAAGATTTCCCCTTTAACATTTGCTTGTTACATTAATTTCAACTTAGTATTTCAGTATTTTGTTTACTCTTTTCATCTTAAGGAAAAATCAGTGACCATGTACTTGTTTTTTCAAGGGCAGAAACAATATTTAATTCATCTTGTATCCTCTTTGCTTAAGACAATAATTGGCATTTGCTCATTCAAAAGTTTTGTTATTGAAATATGTGAACTGGGAGAAGCTCTGAGTCGGTTATTTGGTACTTTGAGAAATTAAGAATCATAGTGCTATCAGGGACCTTTAGAGATCTACTCTAACTGGGCTTTTTAAATATTTTTATTTTAAAACACGTTTTTATTGATTTTTAGAGAGAGGAAGGGAGAGGGAGAGAGAGAGAGAAATATCAATGATGAGAGAGAACCATTGATGGGCTGCCTCCTGCATACCCCTTACTGGGGATTGAGCCCCAAACCTGGGCATGTGCCCTGACCAAAAATCTGTTTAGTCTAGTGATAGTCAGTTTCAGAGATAATATTTGACTTTTAGGTATGCCTGTTTGAATCCCATGATTGAAAGACAGATGCAGTGGGCAACCCATGAAATATATTTATTTATTGAAGAAACCTTACTCACAGTTTACTGCTAAATATTATTACTTATCTATTGGGCTACACTTGTCATTTTGAGGGCAAATCTTAGCTCTGAGCCCTTTTGAACTGAGGACTAACATTCATATTGAACACTATTTGTCCATGTACTTTAAATTCCGTAGGGAGATAGTGAGACTTTAGACGTACTATCATCTGACAATAAAATGAATGAATAAGTAAATAAGTAAGATATATATGCAGACACATTATGGGTTTTTATACACACACATATATTTCTAACTCTAATTTTACAATATCCTGCTATTTATTAGATTTTAATTATAGTATATCTAGCAATCTCTTAGTAAACCTTGAAAAAAATTAATGTTGCCCTGAGGACAGCGACCAATCCAAGGGGAAGGGTTTAAGGTCTTTTACAACCCGGCTAGAAATACAAATTAATCCACATGAGTAGGCAGCTCACTGAAGGTATCTTAAAACAAATTAATGTTCTGAATAGGGGACCTGATTCTAGGTTTGGAGGGCCAAGTGGGAAAAGACACAGCGAAACCCACCCTTCACTTGTGATGGAAATGGAGCCCCATCATGTCAATGATTTGCCCAGAGTCAGTGCTACCCGCTGGCAAGCAGGCAGACTCAAGACTCGTGACTGTTGTACGTTAACTGACTGCCTTTAAATAAAAGTTGGCAGCATTTAGTAATTACTGAGAAAAGCTCAGAATGTTATCTTTCACTTTTTTTTGGTCTCAGTGGGAGGAATGGTGTTGAAATAGTCTTAAATGAAGAACATATTGTACTTAATTTTCTCCTTTGGACTAAGGGAGACTTTAGCTCCTTGGCCAGGGTAGGGGCGTGTGCTGGAGGCAACCAATGGCTCCTGGAGATGAAGAAGACAACAGGAGTGTTATTTCTTCTTCTTTAACTCGTTCTTCCCTAGTGACCCACCCACTTCTAGAGGAATAATGTTGCTCATAGAGACCAAGCGTGTAGTTATTTCCAGTGATAAAGAAGCACAGAGGTAAGATGTTTATGCAAAGGGCATTGCTGCTATGATGCACCCTGACACTTATCTCATGGCATAAGTACACTGGGAAGAAAGGATTGAGTGGGCTCCCTTACCTGAATTCAGTAGATTTCCATGCTCCTAAAGGGAAGAGGAAAGGATTAAAAACACAAAACTCTGTGTGTGTGTGTATGTGTGTGTGTGTGTATACTGTATATGTAAATATCAAGTCTTGAAAACCGAGTTTCTGGTTTTTAAAAATGTAAAGACATATTTCCACAATTTATTTTGCAGACCTTTTCAGAGGCAATTAGGTTTAATGTGAATTATGGAGTTTTTGAAGTAGTTAACAATGCTCCACAACTTCTGGAAAAGCAACTGAAAAAAATTCTACAAAGCCAGCAACCTCGCAATCCCATCTATGATGTTGTAAGAAAAGCAAAGAATGATATTAAACCTGCTCAGATGAGTGACCCCTATAAAGCTGAGACCATTAACATCAATTACAGTGTTATGGTAAGAAAGTGCATTTGAATCTTCTCTCTCTCTCCCAATTTTTTTGAAGAAAGTGCATTTGAATCTTCTCTCTCTCTCCCAATTTTTTTGGGGGAGGCAACCAAATTTTTGGTGGCCTTGTTTCGACAAGGCTGGTGAAAAAAAAAAAAAAGAAAGTGCATTTGAGTTTATATCTTGCTGAACAGACAGTTGGGTGATTATGGCGAGTCACTGAGGGTTCATCCTTGGTAAAAACTGTACCATTCTAGTGAGTGATGTCGATAATGGGGAGGCTATGCATGTGTGGGGACAGGGGGTATCTGGGAAATCTCTGTACCTTTCTCTCAATTTTGTTGTAAACCTAAAACAGCTCTAAAAAAATAACTCTTGCTGTGGCTGGTGTTGCTAAGTGGTTAGAGCATTGGCTGGTGCACCAATGGGTCACGGGTTTGATTCCCAGACAAGGACATGTACCTGGGTTGCAGGTTCAATCCCCAACCCCCTGGTCAGGGCACATGCAGGAGGCAACTAATCATTGTGTGTGTGTCTCTCCCTCTTTCTCCCTCCCTTCCACTCATTCTCAAAATCAATGGAAAAAGTATCTTTGGGTGAGGATTAACAAAAACAAAAAAATAAGTCTTAAAAAATATATATGTGTATATTTTCCCACAAAGAAAACTCCAGGTCCAGATGATTTCACTGGTGAATTCTAACAAACATTTAGAGATGGTTATGTGCCAGCATTATTGTGATACTAGATAAGGAAATTTCAAGAAAAAGAAGAGCCTGCACATTAATGTCTCTTGTGAACATAGACACAAAAAATAAGGAAATTGAATCCAGCAAGGCAAAAAAAGATAATGCATTATGTTTTATTTTTAAAATTATTTTTTAAATATATTTTTGATTTCAGCAGAGAGGAAGGGAGAGGGAGAGAAAGATAGAAACATCAATGATGAGAGAGAATCATTGATTAGCTGTCTCCTGCACACCCGACACAGGGGATCGAGCCCAGAACCCGGGCATGTGCCCTGACTGGGAATTGAACTGTGATCTCCTGGTTCAACCACTGAGTCATGCCGGCCAGGCTGCATTATGTTTTAGGAGAAATAGACATAAATCTTCAATACCTGGTATAGGCATTATTCTTTTTTTTTAGATATGACACCAAAAGCATAAGCAGCACAAGGAAAACATACACAGATAAATAAAAATTAAAAACTTTTATCTCCAAAGGACACTACCAAGAAAGTGAAAAGATAACCCAAAATCAGAGAAAGTGTTTGTAAGTCATATATCTGATAAAGACATATCTAACGGGGTAAAGAACTCTTACATTGAACAATAAAAAGATAACCCAATTGAAGAATGGACCAAGGATGTAAACAGACATTTCTCCCCAAAATATGTACAAATGACCAATATGCATATGAAAAGATACTATATTTACTCATATTCACTATCAACATGGAGGGGTGGGGGATAAGGAAGTTGGAGTGAGATGGAGAGTGACTGCTATAATGAAGGGGGATGCAAAAGTTCTGCATTTGCGGTGAGAGTTTGTGAATATACTAAAACCATTGGACTTTATACTTCAAATGGGTGAATTGTATGGAATGGGAATTATCTATACATAAAGCTGTTATAAAAAAGATAGTACACAAACACATGCAAATCGTATTACACTATTTCTACATAACTATTAGAATGAGTAGAATAAGCAGCAAACAAACACTGGCAATACCAAATGCTGCCCAGGATGCTGATCCACTAGAACCCTTACATTGCTGGTGACGATTCCATTTTGGAAAACAGTTTCATAGTTCTACGTTAAACATATACCCTACTACCTACTTCTCATACTCCTCTGTGTTACCCAAGAGAATTGAATAGTTATATTCCCACAAAACCTATATTTAAATGTTTATAATTGCTTTATTCATAATCACCAAAAACTGGAAGCAACCCAGATTTCTTTTAACTGGGAAGTGGTTAAATAAACTATGCTTCATCCATACAGTGGAGTACTACTGAGCAATGAAAAAGAATGAACTAGTGACCCATGGAAGAACACTGATCAATCTCAAATGCATTATGCTAAATGAAAGAAGCCAGAGTCAAAGGCTGTATACTATATTGATTCCATTTATATGGCATTCTGGAAAAGGCAAAATTATAGAGGCAGAAAACCAATCCATGGTTGCTAGGGACTGGGGTTAGAGGGAGACAATGACTGCAAAGTGGCACGCGTATGTTTGGGGGATGTTGGAACTATTCTGTATCTTGATATATTCACAGTTACATGCCTATGTATTTGTCAAAACTTGTAAAACTCTACCCTAAAAAGAATAAATTTTATTGTATGTAATTTATGCCACAATAAATCTGACTAAACAAAATAATCTATTGGCAGATAGCCAGGCTTTATTTGGTTGCCTGTACATCTAAATATCATCTCTATTAATCTAATCCTGGAGGCATTTTAGAGAAATAGTTCTTGGAAATAGTTCTAGAATGATTTACCTACAGCCAGTTTCCCCTAATCTTTGGTTATCTCTTTTTGTTTCTTAACCAACTCATTTTTTTACTTTAAAAATTAAATAATTAGATAAATTACTTTCTAGTAAGTATTAAGGTATCATTTTATGTTTGGCAGGATTTTTTTTTGTCTTTATGTATTTTAATTACTTGTAAACACCTTGAAGGGATATATATTTTTGGAAGTTTAAAGACTTTTCTTCAATTTTGATTTGATTTTTCAACTTTTCATTTAATTTTTAGGTCAAATAGATGCAAAAACATTTAAAAGGGGACGAGTTATAGGTGAAGTGTTCATGAGGTAAATGTTATACAAATTGATTTTGCATGAACTGACTAGTTTGAAAACCTTGTGGAATTTCTCAAGGGTTTATCTTGATCTTCATATGTAGTCTGGTGTCACGGAATGCATTGCTAATGAGAATTCAAGAGTTTTGTATGGTTGTCAGTGTGTATGTAGAGGCCAATGTACAGTCTTTCTAAGTACAAGATCCAAACATCCTTTATATCTCATTGATAAGCAATGAGTAGTCAACAAGATTCTACCTTTCAGGTGCTGACTATTTCCAGGGTTTCTTCTATTATTATTTCATTACCCAGAAGACAGTCTTTGGTGAAGGCAAATGGGTGTATTTTTGCTGAACAGGAAGAAACCACTGTTTGCTCAGTTTTCCAGTCCTTCATGCCACATGTCAGCAATGTTAAAGCACAGGTGTACCTAGAGCATCAGATTATCAGATGTTGGCAGCACTGCGATGTGAGCCTCCAATTTCCTCAGGAATTAGCAGTGGTCTGTGTTGACTCTGATGTTAATATCACAGCACAACTTTTGCTTTAGCACAGGGGTGGGAAATTTCCGGCCCGCGGAAATTTGGTCTGGCCCTGCCAAGGCCACCGCAGGTGGGACTCGAAATTCAATAAACCCAGGAGCTTTGTTCATAGCAACATAATTTTTAAGTTGATAATTTGTATGGCCCACGAATGATGTTATAAATATCCGAATGGCCCTTGGCAGAAAAAAGGTTCTCTACCCCTGCTCAGCAGGTGACCAATGGAAGCCACATAAGGGCCGACACATTGCCTCACTGAGCTATGTACTCTATGGGTAGTTTTACTTGTTAGGAGCATTTGTTTAGTGTCTAAGGTACTCACATTCTTTAGAATTCTGGAAAAGGTGAATATAAGGCAGAATAGAACCAATAGTGAGTAAATGTTTTAGGATGAATAGCAACCTAATTACTCTTTCATAATATTGTATGGCCCTCACAGCCTCAAGATAAAATGTAAACTCCTTAATATTATTTAAAGACTATTCATAATACTACTGGTTACTATTCATAACCAGGCCCCTGGCTACTTGTTCATCCTTCTTCTACCATCTCTGGAAGCTCAGCCTGTGATGTAGTTGTAATAAATGTATCTTTGGTTCCTCTCCTGCTCCCCTCCTCTTCAACCTTGCTAATCATGCTGCAGGTCCAAGGCTGAGTGGCATGTTCTTCTGGAAATCTTCGCTGTTTTAGTGCCCATGTGACCTCCCACAGAAGCGTGGACTTAGGGCCTTTGCAGCACTCAACTATTATTAACTATTGAATCATCTGCATGCTCCTTAAGGACAGGGTCTTATCTTTCTTACTTACCTTTGTAGCTCCAGGATAGTGGCTGGGGTTGGAAATATTTAACAAAATTTCCTAAAACTGGAAGGACAACAGGCCTTCAGTGACCACAGTAGCCTTACCAAGTGTTCTGGTTAGCTTTTTCTGATAAGGGGTTCTTTTAAATCCATGTTATGATTATGAAGATACTGAGATTGACTGAGTTTTATCTCCTTCCTCCCCCTTCAGTAGTAACAACCCTGGATTCAGTTTGTTAACCTGTAAAATGGAGGTAATAGTTGATGCAGGTTTGTTAAGAGAATTAAAGAAGCACTAGAAGGCAAGAAGTGGCTTCAGATCTGTGACTCGGGGTTCTTGCCCGTATGCGAATAGAAGGTAGAGGGGCAGGGCTCCTAGTAGTAGCTGGAGGTCACTGTTGCCCCATGGATGAGGCACTAATTGTCCTGAAAGCTGATTATCCCTTGACATTCTTTTTCTTTCTCACTTGTCCTTGAATAGTGTCTGAATCGTGAACAAGGCATTCAGTGGATCAAAAAAGAAAGACTTCCAGCATTTCTGGAAAGCGATTGCTATTTTGAATACAGGTATTGTAGTCTCATTAGTGTATATATATTTTAAATGCTGACTTTTTTTTTTTTACCCAAAATTATTTTTCTGTACTTTCTTAATGAAATTCATTTAAATCCATTGGAGTGTGAATCCCAGTTGCTATAGTATAAGAATTCTAGAGCATTGGTAAAAACCATGTAACTTTTCCAAAGAGATTTCACAGAAATAGGACCTAAGAAATGTACTTCATTGGGTGTGGAGAGAGCAGAGCGCCTGAAGAATGGCTTCTCTGTGTACAACACATCCAACAGCAACTTGGGCTTACTCCTCACAGGTGGCAGAATACTATGGCCTTCCTGTGACATTACGCCCTATACATAAAAAAAAAGAAATGTACTTCAGTTGTGCTTCTTTAATCATTAGATATTTTTTAAGTTATCTACGTATCAGGTGATAATGGCATTTCTGTGTAGGGTATTACAAACTGGAAGTAAGCGTGTCATGTAAAAGACAGAATGTTACGGTGCAGAGCCAAGTTTATCTTTTCTGTGCCCTGACTTTTAAAGTATAAGTACCCAAAACATTCTGAAGCTTTACTAAAATATGACCTTTGCTTATAACAGTCATTTTTTAAATATAAATAAAATGAGTTAAAACAATCATTATTAATTTGAAGTTCCATGAATAAGCTATTAATTTGAGCAGATCCTAAGAGAACCATCTTGCAGAGTTAGGAAGGGAGATTGGCTTGAATACATAAAATAAAGTTTTAGTGTTTTTTTCCCCCCCTGAATTCCACCATATTTTAAACTTGCTTCAAATTTGTATGCTTTCTAAAATGCAGGTTAGCAAAATTGGTCTCGCAAGTGAGATGGAGTAGATCAGGCATGAATATCACACTAGATAAAGCTTTTTCTCCCTGGGTCACGAGAAAAGTACCCACTCCACCACCTCCTGTCATTGAAGATGACAATGCTATCATTATGAAGAAGTTCTATATTTCTCTTGGCAAGGTAAAATATGAATGTTTGTTTGTGAATTAGCACTTCAATAAAACTCATATTAGAAGCATGCATTTCATATGTACCACTTGGATAAGGAAAATTATTTCAGATACTTCAAAAGGCAGTTTTAACAAAAATTGTTGTGGCTTTCTACTCACTCATTTGCTCTGCACTCTTTCGCCTGAAATGTAATTAGAATTATCCTCATGTGTATGAAGGAACAGATGCAAGATTGAAGAACATGATCATTGTCACCCAGGGAAACATGGGTAACCGAATTATAGAGATGGTTTTATTGTTCATTCCAAATTTTTATTATTTAGATTCTATAACTGTTACTGGGACCCTAATATTTGAGTCCATCAGCCTGGCCCAAAAGAAATACACAAGCAGGAGTTGATCTTTTGCCTCTGATTATCAGATTTTCTCTCTTGGAATACACTTCCAATACACAATTCTGTACAAAATCCGGAATGTCAAATATGTGGCCCATGTGTTGATACTCTCCTAGTTTCTGTTCATTGCTAACCAATCATGGCAATTTTCCTACTGAGCTATAGGACTTGGCTCCAAAATCTTTTCAACACAGCACTTTAGGCAGGCACTTCCAATTGATCAAAGATGTGATATAAGAGGAAACCTATTTGCCATCTCTGTTGGAATGGACAGACTTATCCTATCTTATTTGAACATTTGTATTCATGTGTAGCTTCTATTTAATTTTGTAGTTTGGCATTTCTAAAAGTGATATTTGTTTTAAATTATGCCATTTCCATCATTTCCACTGAGTAATGCTTAGGGATGTACCAAAGGCACATTTTTCTGTCTTATACTCATTTTGAAGAGTTTATTTTTAACTTATATATTATAGAAATATCAGGAATGTCATAAAATGTGTACTGAGAGTAGATGTCAGTAATCATGCAGAGGGAAGAATTCACTTGGGGGAAAAGTTCTGATTCCCTATATGTAAATGTAATCTATATATATAAAAGCCTAAGTGACCGGAACGACCAGTCACTATGACACGCACTGACCACCAAAGGGCAGAGGCTCAATGCAGGGAGTGCCTCCTGGTGGTCAGTGCACTCCCACAGCCAACCTCCCATGGCTGGCCAACCTCCCCTGGTCCCTCCCTGTGGCTGGCAGGCCCTGGCTGGCAGCTGGCAGCCAGCAGGAAGGCCCCAGTCGGCCTTGATCTCTGGCCAGGCCTAGGGACCCCACCCATGCACGAATTTTGTGCACCAGGCCTCTAGTCAAATATAAGAGAATAAAATTCAAGCTTTTTTTCCCCTTCTATTTCTTGTGATAAAAAACTCATTTTGGTCCACTTATTATTAAACTATCTTCTTTTTTTTAAAATATATTTTATTGACTATTTCTTGTGATAAAAAACTCATTTTGGTCCACTTAATACTTAAACTATCTTCTTTTTTTAAAAAAAATATATTTTATTGATTTTTTACAGAGAGGAAGGGAGAGAGATAGAGAGTTAGAAACATCGATGAGAGAGAAACATCGATCAGCTGCCTCCTGCACATCTCCTACTGGGGATGTGCCCGCAACCCAGGTACATGCCCTCGACCGGAATCGAACCTGGGACCTTTCAGTCCGCAGGCCGACGCTCTATCCACTGAGCCAAACCGGTTCTGGCTTAAACTATCTTCTTAATAGCTTTTGAAGTTTAAGGAATCAAAGTTCTCTGGATCCTTAGATCATTTAAACCATGACACTAGATAGGGATCAATCTTTATGATAATTGGTAACATTTCTTTGGATCTTCAGTTATACCATCTAAACATGAACAATTGATCTATCTCTTAAAAGTATAAAATAGAATAGTTAACTGCTTGTATGCCTGACTCACTACTTCTTTCTCCCCTATCTTCTCTTTTTTGTGTGCATTTGAAGTAACAAGCACTCTTGCATATTGGTCTCTCTCAATTCCTTGAATATTCCCTAATTATTTTGGTCTCCTTTCAGTGCTTAGGATACTGCTAGGAATAGAGAAGTCACTTAATAAATATACATTGAAAGAACATATAGGTAATAATAAATGACTTGGTTTTAAAGGAAGGAAAAGATGAAACAAAAGGAAATTAGAGTCTTTAAACGTATAGGAGCATGAAAAAATAAATTTCCTCCCACTTTTCTAAGTTCTTCTGGCCTGGCTAATAATCCAATGAACAGAAACAGATTAACAAGGAGAAAATGTCCCAAATGTATTACAGTGTACATGTGGGGTACCAGAATAGAGACCCGGGGATGCACTGGGCCAGTTGAGGTCTATGTGCCATTCTGGACTAAGGAGAAGGGGTCAGGGGTCTGGGTTTTTCCAAAAGAAAGTAGACAATTCACAGGAAGAAAGAGCAAACATGTGGCAAACAAATTCTAGCTGGGACCCCCCCTCCCCGCCCCCCAAAACCATGGGACACAGAGGGAAGTTCAACAAATGGGCTTTATGGGATTTCTTCCCATCGGCACATTTAGTTCCTATTACTATGCTAAGGTGCTGCTCCCTTCCATTAAGTAGGTTTTTCTACCCAAAGTCTTTTAGGCAGGTAAGGGGGTGGGTCAGAGGTTCTTTCTGAGTCTTTTCGTCTCTTAATAACCAGCTTAAAATCATTATCCCCAACAGCATAGTTAGGGTGGCAAAACTTTTATCCACAGAAAACCTTACCCCTTAGATCAGCGGTTCTCAACCTGTGGGTCGCGACCCCTTTGGGGGTCGAACGACCCTTTCACAGGGGTTGCCTAAGACCATCGGAAAACACATATATAATTACATATTGTTTTTGTGATTAATCACTATGCTTTAATTATGTTTAATTTGTAACAATGAAATTGGGGTCACCACAACGTGAGGAACTGTATTAAAGGGTCGCGGCATTAGGAAGGTTGAGAACCACTGCCTTAGAAGGATCAGTGACTAAACATAAGGCACCTCTCATTTCTCTCTCCTGCTTTTAATCTCATTGTGCGGCCTGATTGCTCAGAGAATTCTGCACAATAGTCTGGAAACAGTACCTATTCCACTTGAGTCCTGCCTCTTCTGAGAGTGTTCCTTAGGCTAAGGGCCAACCCGATGACTCAGTTGGAGAAAGGACATGAGAGAGCAATGCTGGAAGCTCCCTTTTCTGCTCATGTTGAACTTGGGTTCTCTTAGAAAAACAGATGAGGATGTCACTGAGAAACTCAGGCAGAGGAATTTTGCCCAGAAGGATGAGATAAAGGGCTTCTTAGGACTGGGATTCGAGAAGCTGAGAGTCAGCTTGAGATTTGGGTCAATTGGCTTAAGGGTACATGAAGCAATGGAAAAATTGAAGGCTACATCCGGGGGCAGGTGGAGTCAGGAATCAGTCTTCGGGCAACATCCATTCCAAGCAAAGTTATACAAACCGAATCTAAGGCAAAGTGGCAATTGAGCTTCGAAGATGTTTCCTGTGCTACTGAGAGCAATATTAAGTCTGTCATATTAGGGAGGAGTTGTTAAAAACACTGAGCCAGGTCAGACAGATTTAGGGGCAAGAAATATTTGGGAAGGTTGTAAATGGAAGCTGCTGGCAAAAGGTGCATCCAAGGACTCATGAGTCATGGTGCCTGCCAAGTTACAGTTAGATAGTACGTAGCGGTAGTGACTCCAGGGTGTGACGTGGCCTGCCTTTGGTGGAAGAGTGAAGCATTTGATGGGTATGGGCTCATTTTTTTCCTGTGGGCATCGAATGTGAAATGTATCCGAATTGAAATTTCCTCTCTATTATTCTCTTAGCTAATGCTTTGTTTCTGTGTATAATCTTTTTTTTTCATGGCATAATTTTCCCCTTACACATTGTACAATGCATATTGAATAATATCATAATGATATGTCCAGGTTTGTGATAGGAAGGAGAGCGCTAATCTTACATTAAACACTTGTGCTAAAAAACTAAAAAACAAAACAACAAAAAACACTTGTGCTGCTTTCTTCCTAGGCCTCCTATTTAGAAACGAAAGATTGGTTTACATTAGCCAAACAAAGTCAGCAAACAGTGTCAACCTTCCCTGCACTCCACAGCAAAGCTGATTCACCGATGATTTCATCTGTTTCTGGTAAGCAGAAAAGGACAGGAATGACTTCAGAACTCCTCTTTAGGTCTTCTGCTGCTGTTCTAATCTTACAGTACAACATATAGTGGTTGGGAAGAAAAATTATCGCCCCCCTCACCCCCCAACTCCACGTTCTACCGTTTTTAAGAGGTGACTTGGTATAATGAAAAGAGGCTGAGTTTAGAATTCAACTCTGATACTTATTGCCTGTGTGACTTTTATAAGTTATTCCATTTCTGGGAGCTTTGCTTTTCTCATCTATAAATTTAGGATAATGATACAAGCTAAATGGATAGAAAACGCCTGACCTAGTGCTTGGTACCTAAAAGGCAAGCCAGCAAGTGTTTGTCTTGCCTTTATCTCCTATCACAATGTACAAATTCTTCTTATTAAGCCTTTGAAATAAAGTGGGCACAACAGCAGCGTTTCAAGGGGAACACTTGCCATGTGAAAATACTGAGCCTGCATATTTCACTGATTAATGGAAGAGAAAATAGGAGCCGAAGACTGTATCTTTAGAAAAAATATAAAGACAATCCATGTGTATTTGTTAGCTTTTATAAAATACTTTATGCCATTTTGTAATTTTATTTACTTATTTTCTTTTTGTTCATCCTCACCTAAGAATATTTTTCCCGTTGATTTTTAGAGAGAGTGGAAGGGAAGGGGAGAGACAGACAGAGAAACATCGATGTGAGAGAAACACATTGATTGGTTGCCTCCCGCATGTGCTCTGACCAGGGTCTGGCCCTTGACCAGAATCGGACCCACAACTCTTCTTCCGTCCAAGGACCGATGCTCTTACCACTGACCTAAATCAGCTAGGGCCATTTTGTTTTTTAAAAATATTTCTATTGATTTCACAGAGGAAGAGAGAGATAGAAACATCAATGATGAGAGAGAATCCTTGATTGGCTGCCTCCTGCACACCCCACATTGGGGACTGAGCACACAACCCAGGCATGTGCCCTGATTAGGAATTGAACCATGACCTCCTGGTTCATAGGTCGATGCTCAACCAATGAGCCATGCCGGCTGAGCAAGGGCCATTTAGTAATTTTAATGATAGGTTGTAAGTATGATAGTAATTGAATCTTTCTGATAAAATAGTGAATTTTTTAAAATTGCCAATATGACTCCAGTTCTGATCTGTTCATGTATGGTCTTGTTACCTATGGTAGCTAATTTTACTTTATCATACAACATGAAATATTACAGCACATGCAGGCATACCTCAGGGATATTGCAGATTAGATTCCAGACAACCACAATAAAGCAAATATTGCAATAAAATGAGTCACATGATTTTTTGGGTTTCCCAGCGCATATAAAAGCTGTGCTTACATTATACTGTAGTCTATTAAGCGTTCAATAAGATTATGTTAAAATGTATATACTGTACCTTAATTTAAAAATGCTTTATTGCTACCATCATCAGAGCCTTCTGTGAGTCGTAATCTTTTTGTGGGTGGGTGATTTTGCCCTGGTAACAACAAAGATCACTGATTACGGGTCGCCATAACAAGTACAATAATAATGAAAAAGTTTGAAATAATTGCAAAAATTCCACAATGTGACACAGAGACAGGAAGCGGGCAAATGCTGTTGGAAAAATGGTGCCAATAAACTTGCTTCACCTAGAGCTGCCACAAACCTTCAGTTTGTAGTAAAGGACACAATATCTGTGTAGTGCAATAAGATAAAGCACAATAAAACACGGTATGCTTCTACAATTGTTTAATGTACAGATTCAAATTCTTTAATAGAGTTGGCCTTTATGTAGGGCTGTCAAATATTTCGTTCATCTGACCCTATTCCCTTCTCCATCCAGGGAAGACATGGCTAGCCCCCGTTGGCAGTTTTTTCTCCAACTGGTCCCAAGTGTAGACTCCTCCTTCAGGCCCTCGTCCATGCAGTCACTCTCTGTGATAATACACTCATTTGCCATCCTGGCTCTGTAACATCTAGTTAGTATAAAAATATCTTCTGTATCCATCTATGTCCTAATAGCCTTTTCTTATTTAATATAGAGAGTGTCATCTTTGATGATGGAGTTCACCCCAGGATGCAAAAGGACTCATCTAAAGCCACTAGAATCATTTCTGAATTGGAAGAAGTGGAGGAGGAGGGGTCTATAGCTCTACCAGATACTCCTTCGCATGCTCTTCTGAGAATATACCTTGAAAAGCAACCGGATACTGAAAGCCAGACATTCCATTTCTCAACTTGTGAAGAATTTTTAATATCCTATATAAACTTTATCTTAGCAGTAGTAATTAATCAAATTATTGGTGAGCCATTTAGAGAAGGTCCAGGTTACATAAATTTCAACAATATAACAGAAGTGATAGTTGATGAGTGTGAGCTTATTACTGTCAAGAATGATGTGTTTCCTGAAACAGCTCAACCCACAAAAGAGAAGGCTGAAGAGAGATTAAAAGAAGCAGGTTCAAAGCAAGAGAGCCATGGCTCAGAAAGCAGGGCTGACTGGTGCATTTCTCACAAAACTTATGACATTGGCAATAGGAAGGAGTTCGAAAGATTTAAGGCATTTATGAAAGGTACATTAGGGGAGAGATATTGGTGGCTATGGATGGATATTGAGAGGTTAAAAGTTCTTAAGGATACTGGAAGACATCAAAGGTATTGCTATTTTTTATTTTTCAGTAGTTTTAAAAACAAATTGTGGAATATTAATTTGGGTAGTATTCTTTCTCAAGCAGAAAATCTGAAATAAATATAAAAATGTAATATATACTTTTAGAGCAGTGGTTCTCAACCTTCTGGCCCTTTAATACAGTTCCTCATGTTGTGATCCAACCATGAAATTATTTTCGTTGCTACTTCATAACTGTAATGTTGCTACTGTTATGAATCGTAATGTAAATACCTGATATTCAGGATGGTCTTAGGCTACCAAAGGGGTCGTGACCCACAGGTTGAGAACCGCGGTTTTAGAGGGATGAATAATACAATTTATCTATATATATAAAAGCCAAGGGACTGGAACGACTGGTTGCTTTGATGTGCACTGCGGCCCCGATCGGCCTCCTCATCCCAATCAGGGGCCAGGTCAGCCAGCCAACTTCCTGTGGCACCCCCGGCCCCCCGGCTGGCATGGCCCTGATTGGGCCCTCCCACCCTCATCAGGGTCAGGGATGGCCAGCCAACCTCTCACGTCCCCTCCCCCCAGCTGGCCAGACCCCACCCATGCACGAATTCGTGCACCGAGCCTCTAATTTTATTATAATAATATTGATTCCACTAGTTCTGTGATCTCAAAGTTTTTGGATACTAATAGCAGCAATTATTTGGGTTTGCATAATTTTTCCCCAGAGATTCTAAACCTGCTTTCAAATTTATCATTCTGTTTTATTTTTATAACATTTCAATGATATATTTTTATGGAAAAAATTATGTTATATATCTCACCGGCATAATATACCTTATATAAAAGATACCTTATAACAATGTAAGGACCTGCTATTTCTAGCGTCTGCTGGATTAAAAATTTTCATGATCTTTAATTGGATGCCACTTAGAATTGTATATCTGAATGAGATATCTACCAGATACCATACTGGATAGCCTCTAGAGAGCCCCCTGGAGGTCAGCTGGGGTGCAGGTCTTTGTGTGGCTGCTGTGTATGTTTTAGACCACAGTGAGTCTTTTTTTAAAAATATACTTTTATTGATTTCAGAGAGGAAAGGGGAGGGAGAGAGAGATAGAAACATCAATGATGACATGAGAATCATAAATCAGCTGCCTCCTGCACGCCCCCCACTGGGGATCGAGCCTGCAACCCGGTCATGTGCCCTTGACCGGAATCGAACCCGAGATCTTTCAGTTCGCAGGCCAATGATCTATCCTCTGAGCCAGCCCAGCTCGGGCCGCTGTGAGTCTTAAGAACCCCGAGAGGACCCTGCTTTAGGAGAGTCCTTACCTTGTCTGTGTTCTTCCTGATCTGCTCTGAAGCAGATCAACGATAGCAGATTGCAGTTCTCACTAAGGATTTAGTACATCTCACTGAGTATGTACTCATGACTGGTCCATTCCAGTCCTTCCGGTGGCGTTGAGACCGTAGAACTCATGGTTACACTAGTGATAAGAGCAGGGGTTACCAAGTGGTTGGATGTGAAGCATGACCTGATTGATGCTGAGGTGGGAGGAAGGCCACGGCCACTTTTCCAGACACATTAGGGACGTTAGATGCAAACAACCTACCGAGATTCTCCAGGATCAGTATTGTATTAGTTCCTGTTGTTCACATAACAAATTACCACACATGTATTGACTTGAAGCAACATGAATGTATTCTCTTACAGTTGGGAGGTTAGAAGTCTGAGATGGATATGCAGATGGATATGCAGGGCAGCAGTCCTTCCGAAGGCCCAGGGGAGAATTCATTTCCTGGCCTTTTCCCCAGATCCTGGTCCCTCCCTCCATCTTCAAAGCCAACAGCATACGGTCTTTTCTCTTCTCTGTCCTCTGTTTCTTTCCTCACTTATTTCTCTATGGCTCTAACCCTCCTGCCTCCCTCTCAGACCTTTCAAGTACGTAGGGCTACCTAGCTCATACAGGAGAATTTCCTCACAATCCTAATCACACCTTCAGAATCTCTTCTAAGGCACATAACAGCCGTAGGTTCTGGGGATTAGAACACGGACATCTTTGCAAGGCCAGTCGCTCAGCCTATCAAAGTTGTCCAGCCACTCCCACGTTGGTACACCTGTAACTTAGCGTTGGTTTGGAGATGGCTCGTGACTTTTCTCAAACATTTTGAAGGGAAAATATTTGGCTTGTTGAATGTTGAACACTGCATCAATGTGTGTATGTGTTTTATTGCAGACATCTTGAAAAGATGAAAAAAAACTATCTAGTGAGCAGCGGAGATCGCCACCTTTCTACAGAAATCTTAACAAAACTTAAACTGCTAGATGGCTCTCAGTGGAATAAAGAACACTTAATAAATATTCAGACTGAAGTTGTAAAACCCTTACTTCTGTATTGGTAAGAAAAATTATGTGACTCAAAGCTACCTGCTTTCACCTTCTTAGGCTAGTTACAAGTTATACTTTTAAAAATGTGTAATTTGTGGAAATTTAGAGTGACAACAGTAAGGCTGACAGTACTTATGCGCCATTTTAACTGTGAGCACATCTCTCTACACCTGACCTTTTTATGGTTGGTATGTCATCAAATTGATGTGGGGTGTGTGTGTGTGTGTGTGTGTGTGTGTACACATGTAGCTAGAGTTACAGGTTTATCATTTCAGTAAACATTTTTTAAACACTATCAGCCAAATGTGCTAAGGATACAAGAGTAAAACATGGTCAAGTCCAGTGGTTATAGTCTAGTTGGGAGGAACGTATATATGAAATAAGTGTAATAAAAAGAGAGTGGTGAATATACAAGATACCGAGAAGAGGTAGTATTTCAACAGGGACTCGTGGGACTCTAAACAGAAGAGAATGGAAGCAGAAAAGGTGTGCCACTTGAGGACCAGTGAGCTGTCCATTGTGGCTGTGATGGATCCGATTATGCCACTTAGCTTAAATGTTCCAGTGGTAACCTCAAAGCTTTCAGGATAAAGTTCAGATTCCTTAAGTTAGCAAGTAAGGTCATAATGATTTGTCCTTGCCCACTTCTCTGTTATCATCTCCCATCTAGGTATTCCATATTACTTATAAGCTTTGTATTATCCCATTTCTCTTCATTTCTTTAAAAAACATATTTAAGATACAGAAAGGTATAAATTATACTATCGTGGGCATCTGTGTACACACCACCCAACTTAATAAAACATTTACTAATACAATAGAAACTTTCCTTTTTTTTTTTACTTTTTAAAAACATGTTTTTTATTGACTTCAGAGAGAGGAAGGGAGAGGGAGAGAGAGATAGAAACATCAGTGATGAAAGAGAGTCATTGATGGGCTGCCTCCTGCACGCCCCACACTGGGGATCGAGCCCACAACTCAGGTATGTGCCCTGACTGGGAATTGAACCATGAACTCCTTGTTCATAGATTGATGCTAAATCACTGAGGCATGCCAGCCAGGCCATAGTATACTGTAGCAGTATGCTTAACATTATAAAATGTTTAATATTTTTAAGTGTTACTTGCATCCACCAGTATTTATTTGCTACTATAAGTAAATACTAAACTGTCTTACAATGATCACAGGTGCATTTTATGTTCATTTTATTAGAAACTGTAAGGCCCTGGCTGGTTTGGCTCAGTGGACAAAGCATTGGCCTGTGGACAGAAGGGTCCGGGTTCAATTCCAGTCAAGGGCACATGAAATTTTCTTAATCAAATTGGTATATAGATTCTCTTTCTTATCATGGAGACGATAATTTAAATGCAACTTTAAAATTATTTTTTTCTTCTGTATATGAGTGTACATTGCCTCTTTATGTGAATGAATGTTTTTTCAGGCAGTTGATGTATCATAGAAAAAATGTGATTTTTAAAGCTAAGCAGCAGAAAAAGAAGTAGAAATTATTAGAAAAGGCCATGGCAAGACTGATAATTGTGAGCCTAAGTATTATACACTTTGTGAGCTCTTGATTTTTGAGGCTTATTATGTAGTTTAATCTTAAATTTATTTTCCTCTCAACCAGGGCACCACGATTCTGTGTTACACATTCATCCGCAATAAGGAAAGCCAGTGCTGAACTGAAACTGTGGCACCGCCGTCAAGAGAAACCAAGGGAGGATATTGACCCTTTCCCACAAATAGCAACCCTTTTGCCATTAAGACCTAAATCTTGCATTCCACAGATATCTGATACGGAGGTAGGGTGTACATGGATACTTTGGTCTCTTTATTTAGTTTATAGGAAAATGTCCATGCTTGGGTTTTGTACACTAAATCTTAAGTTTCACCAAGGCTTCTCTCTCTCTTTCTCTCTCTCCCTCTCTTTCTCATTGTTAATATACATGCTGCAACAGTCCTATATAAAGCCTAATATGCTAAGTGTCCATCGGCCATTCAACCAATCAAAGCATAAAATGAACGTTTAATGATATGCTAAGGCTGCTCAACTGCTCACTATGATGTGCACTGACCACCAGGGGGCAAACTCTCCGACCGGTAGGTTAGCTTGCTGCTGGGGTCTGGCCAATTAGGATTGAGTGAGATGGGCCAGATATGCCCTGGAGTCCTCCCATGGTCCTTCCCCGCTGGCCAACCTCCCGTGTCCCTTCCCAGCCCCAATCCTGCACTGGTGGGGTCCCTCGGCCTGGCCTGCACCCTCTCGCAATCCGAGCTGAGGGACCTCCCCCACCCCAGTGCACAGTATAATAAAATGCTATATAATAAAAGGTGAATATGCAAATCGACTGAACAGCAGAATGACCAGTCGCTATGACACACACTGACCACCAGGGAGCAGATGCTCAATGCAGGAGCTGCCCCCTGGTGGTCAGTGTGCTCCCAGGCTCACAGCTGGCGAGTGCAGCAACTGTGGTGGGAGCCTCTCCTGCCTCCGTGGCAGCACTAAATATTCTGACTGACGGCTTAGACCTGCTCTCCACAGCGGGCCTAAGCCGTCAGTTGGACATCCCCTGAGGGCTCCCGGACTTAAAGAGGGCAAAGACCAGGCTGGGGGACCTGCCTCGAGTGCACGAATTTCGTGCACCAGGCCTCTAGTTAGGGAATAAGAAAACCTATAATCTGTTCACCAGGCAGCCAAAGTGATCCTTTAAAATTACAGGATCATGTCACTTACCTGCTCAAAATTCTCTAATGGCCTCCTCCCTCCCTCAGAATAAACATTCAAAGTCTTTACACAGCTGTGCCTGCCTCTGCTAACCTGCGGACCTAATTTCCTACCACACTTCTCTTACTCACTCCACTCCAACCACAATGGCCTCTGCTTTTCTCTGAACACACCAAGCAAGAACCCAGGAGCACTGCACTTGCTGTTCCCTTCATGTGGAGCGCCCTTCCCTCAGGTGTCCATGTGGCTTGCCTCCTCTCTCACTCTAGGTGTCTGCTCAGTTGTCACCTACTCAGAGAGGCTATCCTCGACTCTTCTAAAGAAGCACACCTGTGTAGAACAGCATCACTACATCCTCTGCGCTGCTTTATTTTGCTTTACTGTACTTATGACCACATAATTTGTTTATTGTCTTTCACCTCCTAGTAGAATATAAGGATTTTTCTGTTAACTACTCATCCCCAGTGCCTAGAATAGTGCCTGACACATAATAGTTGCTTAATAAATATAAATCAAATAAATGAATAAGAAATAACAACAGCAGAATTAGAAGTAGTGATCATTCTTTCACATAAGAGAAGATTAGTACAAAAAGATAAGGTGGGGGGAGTCCAAAAAGAGAAGAAAAGTTAACCAACTTTATACAGAACAAATAAATACTGCGACATTGGCACAGAGATGCAACAACTGTAGCTAAGATCCGCATTTCAGAAATACAGAGACTTACTAATCTTGGTAGCCTTTAAACATGTGACAGAATGTTCAGTATTGTTGGCCATAGTCACAAACAACCCCTTTAAAAAAGATTATATTCAGGATGTCTTATTTTAAAAGCAGGAAGATGTGTAATATATTTTTAAAGTTTTACTTTAATTAGTAGTGTTTTTGAGCTGGAGAGATTTTAGTTTTTCTGTCAGTGGTCTGTTAACCCTAGGTGCATAGGAATTATAATCACACAGAGAGCTTTTAAAATATACTGATGCCTGCCCCACCGGTGTGGCTCAGTGGATGAGCATCAACCCATGAACCAGGAGGTGTCGGTTCAATTCCTGGTCAGGGCACACGCCCAGGTTGCAGGCTCTCTCCTCAATGTGGGGTGTGCAGGGGGCAGCCAATTCATGATTCTCTCTTGTCATTGATGTTTCTATCTCTCGATTTCTCTCTGTGAAATCAATACAAACATATTTAAAAAAATAAAATATACTGATGACTGGATCTCACCTTCAGAGATTCTGATTTAATTGATCTGGAATGGGTCAGAGTTACTTTGTAAAAATAGTGGGTTGGCTTAGAACTGAGGTTTTCAATGTGTCTGAACATTAGAATCACCTTTTAGAGCTACATTTTAATCAGATATCTAGGTGGTTTGTGCTGCTCTAGGCTCTCCAGCATATGGAGGAGTCATTTGAAGAGCTTTCAAAACAGAAGCACTTGGGCTCCACCTGGAAATCAAGATTCAGTAGGTCTGGGTGGGGCCCAAGAACTTGCATTTCTAACAAATTCGCTCCCAGGTGGTGCTCTTGCTGTTGGTCTGAGGACCGCACTTTGAGTTAGTGTCACTTTCGTGCCCTAATGATTTCTCGTTGTCTTGACCTGTTCCTGACCTTCGACCTTGTGACCTCCTTTGTATGCCACTCCCCTGATTAATCTTCCCTGTTAGGTCATGGAACTCAGTGACGGAGTCACCACATCAACACACCTCTTAGAGGTGTACTGTAGTGAACACGTCATCTGGTAATGTGAACATTTGTACAAATAACATTTGTGCAGCGTGTGAGAACTAAGGCAGAAGAAAAAGTGAGCGGTGTGGTTAATGGAATGAGAGAGCCGTGTCAAAGGAGTGGGGGGAGAGAGGCTTCTGTGAACATGACCATGGCCTCCCATCTGTTCCTTTCCTTGGCTTCCTGATATCATGGCCGTACTTTGTCACTCGTGTTTTCTAGTTGGGTAACTCATTCCGCTCTCACTCTGTCTTTCCTTAGCAGAAAACACTCTAAGAAATAGAGCTCAATTCTGTTTTCTTTATTTTCCCCATTTTAAAAGTGGAGGTCTAATTTATATACTATAAAATGCACCCTTTTTAGTGTACACTTCTGTGAATTGTGACAAATGTGTACATGAGTAACTACCATCACAATCACAATACAGAACATTTCCTTCACCCACCTACCCCCTATTCCAGTGATGGCGAACCTTTTGAGCTCAGCGTGTCAGCATTTTGAAAAACCCTAACTTAACTCTGGTGCCGTGTCACATATAGAAATTTTTTGATATTTGCAACCATAGTAAAACAAAGACTTATATTTTTGATATTTATTTTATATATTTAAATGCCATTTAACAAAGAAAAATCAACCAAAAAAAATGAGTTCGCGTGTCACCTCTGACAAGCGTGTCATAGGTTCGCCATCACTGCCTTAGACAGTGGTTCTCAACCTTCTGGCCCTTTAAATACAGTTCCTCATGTTGTGACCCCCAACCATAAAATTATTTTCGTTGCTACTTCATAACTGTAATGTTGCTACTGTTATGAATCATAAT